TCCCTCATGTTGCTGAAGAAACAAAAATAAGATCAGAGAGGTTAGGTTGGCTGTCCAGGATTACACAGTAGGTTAATGGCTCTTTTTTAAGTGGCAGAAACAGGGTTTGTACTAAGAGGCAGCTGAGAACATTAGAGAAGAGCACTGGGTAGAAACATTGGGATATGAGTTTGAATCCCGGCTCTACCATATAGTTGCCTAGTATAACAAAGGTTTAATTTAGAGAACAGCCCTGAGCATTCATAAGAAGATCCATTCAGGATAAAAATTCTATTTATGCAGTAAATGTGGAAGAGATGTGTGGGTGGCATTGGGAGGGAGAAAGAAAGAGAAGGGAATACGTAAACTCCTACCTACTATGTACCAGGCATTGTGCTAAGCCTAGTATTATCTCATTTGATCCTTACAACCACCCTGCGAGGTGAACACTATTATTATCCTCATTTTACAGTTTAGGAAACTGAGGCACACAGAGGTTAAATGACTTGCCCAGGATCATGCAGTTAAGTGTCTGAGACCAGATTTGAAAGCAGGTCTTCCTGACTCCAGACCCAGTGCTCTATCCACTGTGTTACTGGACTGATTTAGGCAAGTGTTTTTCCTTCTCTGGGACTCTGTCTCCTTTATAAGATGAAGGGAGTTGCCTCAATGATTTCTCACGTCCATTCCAGCCACAAATGGATGATTCAGTCTGTCCTCCTGCTTCATCCAGTGTTCTCTTCCATGATATCATACTGTCCATGCCATATCAATACACCTGCAGTGAGGGAGATCTGAGAGATGCTTCTCCATGAGTAGGAGAAAAGGGAAGGGAAATGGCAACACTCTTCTTGGAAGTAGCCAAGATCCTGTGGCTCAGCAGCAGCTTTGAAACTTACCTTTACTGAGGTCCATCAGCCTTGAGTCTGGGCTCTCGAAATTTAAATCTCTAAGATGAGGAGTTTTAAATTTCATAGTTTTCAAATCTACTTATTAATCAATCAACTAAGCAGTCCAGGTGACAGACATCTGCCATGAGTGGCACTGTGCCAGGGGTACAGGATCAGGAGATTTTGAGCTGGGAGGCTCTTAGCTCAAGTTTCTCATGTTACAGAAGAGAAAACAGATTCATAGAGGGAGTGATTTTTCCAAGGTCACACAGGTATCACCTCTTAACCTGGGAGTTTTTAAAAAACAAACTTACTTTTTAAAATAAACATTTTGATAACTGTATTTCAGTAGAATTGGTTTCCTTTGTAATCCTAGGGATTTTATTTTATACATTGAAAAACATTATTCTGAGAAGGGGTCCATAGGCTTCACTAGGATTCCAGAGGAGTCTAAGACACATAAAAGGTTAAGAATCCCTGCTCTATGGGGCAGCTAGGTGGTACAGTGGATAGAGTACCAGTCCTGAAGTCAGGAAGACCTGAGTTCAAATGCGGCCTCAGAGCAAACACTTGACACGTACTAGCTGTGTGACCCTGGGCAAGTCACTTAACCCCAATTGCCTTAAAAAAAGAATCCTTGCTCTACAACATGGTGATTCCCCCAGTATGGGGGCTGTAAAAATCCCTGCTTTCAAAGAGACCCCAATCTAATTGATGGGAAAACAGTAGCAAATCATGGCAGATCAGAGGTGAAAATGATGTGATAGAAACTGGAGTATATAAGAAGATCAGAGAAGACTGGAATCAGTGAGAGAGGAGTACTGGGAGAATGGGCAGGTAGGTGGCCCAGTGGATAGAGACCCTCGCCTGGAGTCAGGAAGACACATCTTCCTGAGTTCAAATCTGGCCTCACACACTTATTAGCTGGGTCACCTTAGGCAAGTCACTTCACTCAAGTTTCCTCATCTGTAAAATGAACTAGAAAAGGAAATACCACTCTAGTATCTTTGCCAAGAAAACCCCAAATGGGGTCATGGAGAGTTGGACACAGCTGAAATGACTGAACAACATTAGGAGAACATCTCATTTAAGAGTTCTGCACTCTCTTTGTCCGTTTGGCTTCTTATGGTGGTGTGGTATAACAGATAGAACATTGGACTTGGAGAGACGTGGATTCAAATTCTGCCAATGACACACCTATCTGTGTAAACCTGGCCAAATCACTTTACCTCTCTGTGCCTCAGTTTTGTCCTCTGTATATTGAAGATAATATCATTTACTTTCCCAGACCTCTGTAAAGTTCAAATTAGATGACGTATGTAAAGCTGTGTGACCACAGATAGTGGGGAGTCTTTGGGCCTTAGTTTCTTCATCTCTAAAATGAGAAAATTAATACTACCCATAGTATCTATCTCAGGGGCTGCTGTGGGGCTCAAAGGAAAGAATACATAGAAAGAGTGCTATGTCAGTTATTTTTTTCTTGCCATAAGTGTGTAGATGAATGATTTATTTCAAGCCCATGGCAGAGTCATGATTTAGCTGATGCAGGTATCAGACTGACATCTCAAATGTGGAAGCCTTGCAATAGTCAATTTCTGAACCAGGAGAATGTTGTACACAGTAACAGCAATATTGTACGATGAAGAGCTATGAATGACTTAGCTGTTCTTAGCAATACAATGATCCAAGATAACTCCAAAGGATTCGTGATGAAGCGTGCTATCTGCCTCCAGGGAAAGAAATGACATTGTCTGAATACAGCCTGAAACACGCTATTTTTTACTTTCTTTCATTTTTTTTATTTGAGTCTTCTTGTACAAAATGACTAATATGGAAATGTTTTATATGATTGCACATATATGACCTGTATCTGATTGCTTACCATCTCAGGGAAAGGTAAGGGGAGGAAGAGACGGAGGGATAGAATTTGGAATTGTTTTACCATGTAACCAGGGAAAAATAAAATATTATATATTAAAAATAATAATTAAAAATGAAATATTAAATAATATAGTAAAAATAATCAATTTCTGACATGCAAACCCGACTTTCAAAAATTGCTTTATTGAATAAAGATTGTTCGCAAGACTCCTGGATACAGTGTTGTAGTCTTTTATTAGAGTGCTATGAAATATTAAAATTCCAAGTGTATGACTAAATAAGGAAATTAGCAGAAAAAAAGTTTACTGTGGATCACTAAGGAGAGAGTTGGATATGAGGAAGTAGCCAAGAACCAAGCTGATAGAACATGTTATTATCAGGAGCCACTAAGTGCAGGAAGTGCCAGCTTTGGAATGCATGGCCTAGTAGAAAGATGTGCTTAGAAAACACAGGGTTTGGTTTTATTTACAGAAGACACAAAAGATGTGAAATAATCCCTACAAGAAAATCCATCTGGATGAGTCCTTTTTGAGATGTCATTAGCATTACATCAAGGATCTGTGGTTTTTTCAATAAGGAAACTCTCTCCACTAAAGAAAACTGATGGAGGTGGCGTCTTGGATAGTGTACTGAACTTGGAGTCTGGAGGACTGGAGTCCAAATGCTGCCCCAGACACTTACTAGCTCTGTGACTCTGAGCAAGTCACTTAACTTCTCTGCTGTTCAGATTCCTTTTCTGTAAAATATGGATCAAATAACACCGACCTCTCAGGGTCGTTGGTAAGAATTGAATGAGGTGACATGTGCACCGTGCTTTGCAAACCTTAAAACATTATATAAATGCTAGTTATTATTAAAGAACAGAGAGGTCTTGAGTGACTTGCCCCTGTTAGCGGGTTAGTACCAGTTAGTGGGTACCAGAGAGGTCTTAAGCCCATGGTTACCCAGGAAGTATCAGAGACATCTTAGAGTCACACTGTGTCAGAAAGGTCTTAAGTGACTTACCCATTGTCATGAAGTAAGTGTCCAAGGACTGATTTGAACCGAGGTTGTCCTGATGGCAAGTCCAAACTAGCCACCAGGCCATACTGCTTAAGTTGCTGACATTGCCAGAGATTATAACCACCTCCAGATACCCCTGGGCCCCTAAGAACAGCAAGAGGATTAGCAGATGTTTCTGGGGAGGGCAGCTGTACTCTCTTCAGAATGCTGTTGTTCAAGACCAGTCTTTGACTCATCTAGGATTTGAAATCCAGGAAAGATATTTAACCTCTCAGTGCCTTAGGCAACTCTCTAATCAGGGACTGGGAACCTGAGGCCACGTGTGAATCCTTTGGATCCAGTCAAAGGGCAGCACTTGAGGACCTAGAGAGCCACATGTGGCCTTGGAGGCTGCAGATTCCCTGCGACTGCTCTAAAACTAGAAGTTAATGACCCCCACTAGTAGAGGGTGTTTCCTCATCTAGGAGTTCCCAACAAAAATAAAATCACACACCCAGTCTCTATTAAAAGGGCTCCTTGGGAGGTTGTGTTTGGGATACCTAATTTTATATTTTCACCTTTCTGTGTTGTGGCCAAAAACAATTCTTGTGAAAGGACTTGTCCAACCTGCTCCAGTGCTGAGGATAAATAAACAAGGCCTGGATATGCAAAAGGAGAGTGGGTTACCTGGTGTCTGTGAAGTCAGGTAGCTTAGGCCATGGTTCTGGGTGTTCGTTAACTAGCGTTCAGGGATCATGTGTAATGCAAAATGCTAGACCAGAGAAATGTGATTGATTTGGACAATGACAAAGATGCTTCAGGTCATTTGGCAGATTTGGAGTCCAATGTCTTTGTTTCTGAGCTTTGACACTTCTTACCTATGGGATTCCCCACCTCCTTTTCTCAATTAGCTTTGCATATAGTTTGTGTTTATTGCTGTTGTAGACATCTTTTATAGCCCAGAGACAGGAAGTGACTTGTCCGGGGCCATATAGGTAGCCATTAGCTGAGCCAGATTCACGACCACATCCTCTGACTCTAAATTCCCCGTTCTTTCATAACTACAACAGGTTCCTCCAAAGCAAAGACTTTAGGGCAGCTAGGCAACTCAACTGATAGATCACAGTACTTGGAGTCAGTTCAAATCTTGCCTTAGACACTTAATAGCTGTGTGACCCTGGGCAAGTTACTTAACCTCTTTGTTTCTCAGTTTCCTCAACTGTAAAATGAGCTTAATAACAGCACCTACATCAGTTAGTCAATAAACATTAAGTGTCTACTATGTGCCAAGTAGCCCATGCTAACATTACAGAATCATGAGGATTCGAAGAATGAATAAGTAAAGCACTTTGCAAACCTTGAAGTGCTATATAAGTACCAGGTATTATTATCATTATTATTGTTTTTATTTTTGTCTGTGTACTTTCACATCTAGAAAAGTGTTTAGTGTATAGTGGGTGCTTAATAAATGCTTGTTGAATTGAATCAAATTGAATTAATTGGCTTTGGGTGGATAACAAGCTTTCTGGGCCTCTGTCTCTTCCTCTGTAAAATAAGATTTGGAATAGACAATCCTTAAGCTCTAATCTATGATATTATCTAAACCTATGATACTATGAGTTTATATTGAAGAATAGGAAAATCTGAAGCTTACAATGGAAACACACTGCAGAGTGAGAAACTGAATACCTTCAAAGGGACAGAGAAGGCAGTATTTTTGAAAGATTGTGAATGGGATATGTAGTAACATTCATTCAGCTCACTCCTTCTTTGTCTCCGTTGACAACGTGGACTTGGAGGCGAGGGATGAAACAGGGTTGTACATGCTCTCGAGAAGAAATGACCTTCCCGTCCTGAAACTCCTGGGTGAGAGTATAGATTCTGGCGAGGATCCTGGGCAGGGATGAATAGAAATCGCGGGGCTTAGCTCTCACATTGCAAACCGAAGAGTTACACGGCCTGCATGTTACATAAGAGGGGGCCGTACATTCCATGGTCCGGGATATGCAGGGCATACAAGGTGAAGGCTTACATTCTGTGGCACATGGATTGCAAGGAAGCCTAGGAAACAACATTATACAATTTAAGGTAGGGTTTACTGGGAAAGTATTGGTGCCATTTAAAAAAAAACCTGATAAAAGGAGAATGATGATAACAACAAATTATTTAATATAATTCACGCAAAATAATCCCCTTCACAATCTGATCTTTTGTTCTCAATTTACCTGGAGAAAATAATTAAAATAAAGGTTCAGATAAACAGATTGAAGTTATTGGAAAATAATATTCATAGATCTTTTAGAAGCATTAAATCTTATGAAGTCTTTATTAGATAGTAAATTTCTCAAGGGCAAGAAATGTGTCTTATATCATTGTTGCATCCCCAGTGCCTTGTATGATATTTTACATGCATCTAGCAGACAATTAACAAATATTTCTAGAATTAAATTGAAATCAACTGAATTCTGATCAATCCCTGTTACCTGACATAGCTGGGGAATTACTAAAAGATTCTGGTTGAGAACCATCTTAATAATAAAACTAAACTATATTTTACAAGTACTCCACTCTTCCTTTTGATGTGGAGTCTGAGACCTGGGAAAGACCTTAGCTTAAAAAGGCCAGGGTCTCTCACTGCATCCAGGGCCATCCTGGCCTATGTATTGCTACTGGACTCCAATGACTTTGGAGGAGAGAGTGAGGCTGATGCATAGCTCAGCCTCACTTAACTCCAATTCCCTTGAAAGTCAAGATATTATCCTCCTGATATCATTGGTCGTCTTCAAGAACTAAGACAAACAACAACAATAATAAGAGATTCTCACCTTAGGACTCCATAGCCCCTTTAAATCACCTCCCCCAAAAGATTCATAAATAGATGTCAAGGTATTTATGAACTTGGAAAGGGAAAAAATGACGTATTTTTTTCACTAACCTCAAACTGAAATATTTAGCATTTGCTTTAGTCATAGATTTTACAAAACAGAAACAAAATGTTATTCTAATAAAAGGTCCATAGGTTTTGTTAGACTCCCAATAGGGTCTATGGCACATGAGTCCATGATCTTGCCGTAGAATCTAGTCAAATCCCAAGTCACAGAAGAATCTCTCTTTCAGGAGGTGGGCATATATAGAATAATAATATTCAAAGAATTAATATATATTAAAGAATATATCAACAAGGTATGTCATTGATACACATTTGAAAATATAGCAACAATAATAATAATAGTGTTTACGTGGCACTCTATGGTTTTGCAAAGCTCCTTACAAATACTGTCCCATCTTATCCTTATAACAGCCCTAGGAGGTAGGTGTTATTTCTACCCCTGTTTTACAGGGGAGGAAGCTGAGGCAGAGGAAGGTTAAGTGACTTGTCCAGGGTAACACATGTAGTAAATGTCTGAGGCTCAGTTTGAACTCAGATCTTCCTAGTTCCCAGCTTAGTGCTCTATCCATTGAGCCATCTGAATTTTGAGGACTACATTGGGAATGTCATTTGTATAGAAAACTCCCAATGGTGCAACTTTTATAGACTTAGATTGACAGCTCACCAATAGAGAGTCTTAGAGAGTTTCTTGAGGCAGATAGGCGGTACAGGATAGAACACTGGGCTGGGAACCAGGATGACTCATCTTCTTGAGTTCCAATCTGGCCTCAGACACTTACTAGCTGTGTATGACCCTGGGCAAGTCATTTAACTCTGTTTATCTCAGGTTCCTCATCTTGTCAAATCAGCTGGAGAAGGAAATTGCAAAGCACTCCAATATTTTTGCCAAGAAAACTCCAGATGGGGTCACGAAGAGTGGGACTGAACAATGAAAACAACAAAGAATTGCTTAGGCATAGGTAGAACCATGTATTAGATGATATGGAACCACAGCTAATAGGTGTCTGAGGCAGAAACCTACATCTTCTTGATTTCTATAATGGTTGTCCATCTACCAAATTACAGTGTATCATCTCACACTGATAAGAGCAACTGGCATTTCTATAGTACTCTAAAGTTGGCAAAGTGCTTTACATAAATGATCTCATTTGACCTCATAGCAACTTTGTGAAGTAGGTACTGTCGATGCTATTGACTCCATTTTAGAGATTTAGGAAAACTGAGGCTTCAAGAGGTGAAATGACTGGTTCTTGGGCTCATAGCCACTAAGTGTCAAAGAGAGGGTTCAAGCCCAGGTCTTTTGGACTAGAGGTCTAGCATTCTATCTGCTACATCTCCTTGCCTTTCTATTAATAAGATGCATGTGATGATAAAGTGCTCCTGAGTCCAACATCACATTTCTTTGATGATTCAGAAGGTCCTTGCAGTAAGTGCCTCATTATCATAGTTATTCATATGCTGGTAACAATAACAACAACATTTTACAGTTGGGAAATTTGAGACTGAGAGAAGGTAACTTGCCTGGTGTCATAGCTAGTAAGTGTCTGAGGAAGGATTTCAATTTAGATTTGTCCTGACTTCAGGTCTAGTGCTATTTGTATTGTGCTGCTTAACTGCCTCTGGTAACAATAAAAATAGCTAACATTTACATAGTGCTTACTAAATATTATCTCATTTGATTCTCACAACAAACTGGGAGGTAGGTGCTATTATTACTCCCATTTTACAAATGAAGAAACTGAGGCAAATGCAGGTTGCCCAAGGTGTGGTGGATAGAGAACCATCCTGGAGTCAGGAGGACTTGGGTTTAAATCTTGCCTCTGATATTTCCTAGCTATGTGACCCTGGGCAAGTCACTTAACCCTGTTTACCTCAGTTTTCTCATCTGTAAAGTGATCTGGAGAAGGAAATGGCAAACTACTCCACTGTCTTTGCCAAGCAAATCCCAAATGAGGTCACAGAGAGTCAGACTGAATGACTCAACAACAATAGATGCTGCTGTATTTTGGAGGATTTTTATAGCATTTCAAAGTCTATTGACAGGCTGTATGTATGTTTTTAGAGTATGTTGCTTAAGAAGTCAGTATTTCTGGCTCACTTCTCATATGGATCATTTAGCTCCTCAAAGAAAAAAAACCCCAAAAACCTCTTTGTTGCATAGCATTCATTTTCTCCCTGACTCCAGACTTTGTGACTATGCTCACTCTGCCCTCTTATGGATATTGACTATTGGTTATCAGAGTAATTCCTTAAGATCTTGTGGTTCCCTTTGTTCAAACCTTTCTCCAGGATTAGAACTGCCACCAAAAGTATAGTCCAATTCTGTAAAATGTGGATTCCGTCAAAAGGCTGCACTTAAGGATCTAGAATGCCCCATGCGGCCTCAAGGCCACAGGCTCTCCACCCCTGGTATAGTTAGTTCAGAGCACAGACTAAACAGGCTGAAGAAAGCACTCTAGCCTCACAAACCTGCAGTCAGTATTCTCCAGAAGATGTCTATATGTGGCGATCTCACACTCTAGCTTGGACTTCACATCCAACAGGACCTGGTACTCTTGATTCTGCCTGTCCAGTGTACTTCGGATCTCAGCCAGCTGGGATTCCAGGCTCTCAATCAGACACTGGATCTGGGCTAGCTGGATGGCATAGCGGCCCTCTGTTTCCATCAGGATGCATTCCTGAGAAGCTCTCTTAAGACAGAAAGAGACATGAAGTTGATTATTATTAGGATGATTATGAAGAGTTGTTCTTTAGAGTTCTGCTTTGTACTCCTTGGTGATGTTTATTTGACATAAAAGGAAATCGAGGTCTAGAGAGTTTAAATCACTTGTCAATAACCACACAGATCTGATCCTGGGTCTTTCCATTCCAGGTCCAATATTCTTTCCACTGCCTCTTCTTTCAGGGTCTCCTTCCTTTTCCCTCCTCTAAGTAGCCAGTGCTACCACATTGCTACACTTAAGGGAAGGTTATGAAAGGAGCCTTTTAAGCTCATTCATTTGAAGATATAGGGACCTACCAAATTGCCCTAGCATTTTAAAAGACGATGTGGAGAGAGAGAAAAGAGAAACACTAAAGCAGGGGTGGGGAACCTGAGCCTCAAGGCCACCTGTGACTCTCTAGGTACTCAAGTGAGGCCCTTTGGCTTAGTCCACACTTGAGGACCTAGAAGGCCACATGTGTCCTCCAGGCCACAAGTTCCCCACCCCTGCTGACTAAATGGTAGAGTGAAGAATGTTAAAGGATTAAACTGCTAGTGACAATAGTAATAAGACTCATACTAGCTAGCATTTATATGGGCTTTAAGTTGTGCTAAATGCTTAATATATATTAGCTCATTTGGTAGAATCCCAGGCCTCATTGGGATAGACATTTGGGAAGGAGGTGAGTTTGGAAAGGAAACCTAGAATCCCTATAAGGTGGGTTGGAAATAGCACTGGATTTGGAGTCAGAAGGCATGGGTTTGAACGCAATGGGACCATGGTCCAGTCACTTAACCAATATCAGTTTCTTCATCTATAAAAGAGAGAGGATGAACTAGTTGACCTCTCAGATCCCTTCTAGCTCTAAATTTACAATACTATGAAATCACAGCATACAGATGACCACAGACTCTGCCTACGCTTAGGGCCAGCCCTAATGCCAAAGCTTTTGATCTTTTGCCATTTTGGCTTCAGAGAATGCCAAGGACTAGATGGCAAAGGAAGCTTCTAAGTTAATAGAACTCACCTCCTACACTGAATCATCCCATATCTACAGAAGTCAATGCATACTAGGCTTTGCCAACTCCTATGGGCTACACACCAGGCTGTGCTGGGCCTGCAGCTCGATCTCCAAAGCACTGATGGTGCACCTCAGATCACAGATCTCCTTCTGGAAGCATTGTTGCTCCTCTGAGCTGGATACTACCTGCTGGTTCAGTTCCTGCAACTGAGGCACAGACAACATATATTTAACATTTTTTAAAAATGACATTAAAAGGTGACAGGACTTTCTTGAGAGCAAATGTATGTGTACATTTGTACAAGTGTATGTGCACATATGTGTGTGTGCTTGTCTATCTCAAGGTGCCCACCTGGGTATTGAACCATTCTTCAACATCTCTGCGGTTAGTCTCAACCAAAGACTCATATTTGCATCTCATTTTTTGCAGTGCCTCATTAAGGTCAACAGAAGGGGCAGCTTTCACTTCTATGTTGAGTCTGTCACCAAGCTGGCTCTGTAATGAATTCACTTCCTAGGGAAAGGGAAAAAAAAAAAAAGAGTGCTTGTTCAGTGAGTAGACTATTACCATATTTCACAGTGCAATAGCCTGGGAATGGTCAGCTTTTTTCTAGGTTCCATTTAGTATCAGCATCTAAGTTTCCTAAATTTTTAACAGTAGTGCTGAATAAAGGATTGAATACAAGATTGGTCAGCAAAGTTGAAACTAAGATGAGATGAGGAGGGTTTTGCACTAGGGTACTGAAATTATATGGAAAAAATAGAGTGGAGCATCTACGTAGCAAGAATAATTAAAACAGAAAGGTGCCATAAGGTGGATTGGCGTAAGACCTCTCCCCTTACTTATCCTTCCCCCCCCCAAATTGTAAGGGCTTTAAAATGTTTCTGAAATGTATATGTATAGCCTATATCAGATTGTGTGCCATTTTAGGGAGAGAGATGGGGAGGAAGGGGAAGAAAAATTTAAAACTCAAAAGCTTATGGAAGTGATTGTTGATAAATCAAAATAAATTAATAAAAAAATAAAATTAAAAAATGTTTCTGAGGACAACCAATGGATAAAGCAGTACAGGACACTAGAGTAAAGAAAAATCTTTTTTTCTCAATTGTGCTGATTGAAGGCCAGGACTGCATAAACCCACTTAAGGAAGCTCTGTGTATCTTTATGTTAGGCTAGGGAAATGAGGCTTTCCCCCATCACAGCAGAAGCCAGAGGACCTGCTGATTTTTTATTCTAGGCTCCCTTATACACTTTTAAAGAGTATATTACATTGTACCTATACTGCTAAGATGAAAACAGATTGGGTGGATTGACAGTAGTCAAAACAACTCTTCAAAAATGTATAAATGAGAGAAACATTTGGTAGAGAAGGCCACTCTGAAGACTAGCTCAACAGAGTGGGCAATTTTTGAGCTTTGGGGCTCTGATGACTTTATTGATATTTTGCTAACCTCTTCATGGTTGTGTTTGAGGTGAAGGAGTTCCTCCTTTAGAGACTCCACTCGCCCTTCCAAGTCAGCCTTGCATAAGGTCAGTTTATTCAGGATTTGATGGAGGCTATTGATGTCAGTTTCCACCAGCTGCCTCTGGGACACTTCAATTTCATACCTTTAAACCCAAAAGAGAGCAAGAGAATGGAAGGCAAAGGATGGTTCAGTAACAGAAGGTAAAACATCCAAGAAGCAGAAATTCTCTCTAAGTCTGTTTAATAGCATCTCCTGTTTACTAGCATTCTACTGTTGGGGTATTTTAGAGGTGAACTCAATTCTTTCAACTTTAGCCTTTAACACTCATTCTTAATTGTCCTTGAATCAGGAGCAAAGAGGCACTCAAGCATATTTGTCAGTATGACATCAGACTGTGATTTTCCTGAAAGAAGGAGGACTAGTCATTTCCTAACTATGTTTGAAAGAAAGATTCCCTTTGAAGTTTGATGAAGAATCTGGGGGAGTGACTTAAAAAAATGTTATAATTCTTTAAGCATGGGAATTAATTAATTTGGATATCTATAGCTAGTAATTAAACTTAGTTGGTTGAATTGGTGTTCAGTATTAAGCTTTTAACAAAAAATTTTTCAAAGAAAGAAGAACAAAGGTCCTTGCTGGACCCCTGCATATGTCCCCATTGGGACATAGTTGGTCCACAAGTGAATGTTTACGCTTGGGCTGGCCTTGAGCAAAACAACATATGAAAGGGTCCAAGTGAGCTTACTTTGCTCTGAAGTCATCAGCGGTCACTTTAGTGTTGTCTATTTGGGAGACCAGCCTGGAATTTTCAGCTTTGGTGCACAAGATCTAGGATTTAAGAGATTGTGCAAATGAGTGAGACTTGAAAGCCAGCAGTTCTCCCTAGGATGTTTTCCTTTGGCACTATCTCAGCTGGTATGAAAGACATTTAAAGATAAAATCTCTGTTTGTGGCTTCATCCATGCGGGACCCTGTCCACATGGCACCCTATCAGTAATTTATCATCTTAGAGAGAGCTCCCTGAGAGATTAGGCAACTTGCCTAGGATCACATAGCTGGTTTTCCAAGTTTTCTTGACTCAAAGTCTAGCCTTCTATCCACCATGCCAAACTGCTTCTAATGAAAATGCTTTAATGCTTTCAATAATCTTCATGGTTTGGTTTATAATCCAAGAATACTTGTATAATTCAGAAATTAAAAACAATTTTCCAAGGTTAAATAATAATAGCTAGCAACATATAGTGTTTTATACAAATCTCATTTGATTCTTTCATTTGATCCTGAAAAACCCTGGGAGGAGGTGCTATTATTATTCTCATTTTTATAGCTGAGGAAACTGAGGCAAACAGAAATTAAATGACTTACCCGGAGTTACACACCTACTCAGTGTCTGAGGCTGCATTTGAACTCAGGTATCCTTGACTCTAAGACCAGTATTCTGTCCACTGTATTACTTAGTTATCCATTGAACTGTCAGCTATTATTACTTAGTACTGGGTAGTCTAATTCAATAGCAGAGGGTACCTCTGCAGTGATGAGGAGATATAAAAGTTTGGAGGTGACCTTTAGATAGCATTTTTCATCCTTACCTGAGGAATTCCCTCCAGACGTATACATAAAACAACCTGAAAAGCTATTAGCAAACCTTATACATGGATGCTAGTTATTATTATTTCCAGAAGTTCTAGCAAATACTTTTGTCTCAAAGGTCCTAAGGCCACAACTGGATTGCAATGAGACTCAAGAATCATTACCTTTTGCTGAAGTTCTTCTATGATCTTGAAATAAGAGAGGTAATCGGGACACACGATGGGAGTCTGCTTTTCATGCTGCTCCCGGATCTTGCACTCTAGGCAGGCGTTCTCCTGCTCCAGGTTTCTCACTTTCTCCAGGTAGTTAGCCAGGCGTTGATTCAGTGTCTGCAAGGTCTCTTTCTCATTGCTATCTAAGCTGCCCTCAGCACAGCTCGCTCCACAGAAGGATACCTTGAAGTTGTTCAGGAGGTAGCTGGGAGAGCGACAAGGAACTGGATGGCAAACATTAGGTGGACAGACCTTAGCCTGGCACTGGCTGATTTGACGATTGCTTCTTTGGCAGCTGGTACAGGCAGAGAGGGCCCTGGAAATTGGAAGCCTCGAGCAGCTTTTGGAAGTAGATGAGAAAGAGCATTTGGGGGGACCACAATTGGATGCCATAGTGTTAATATTGGCAGTTTCAGTTTCGTTTCAATGCTTTCCTTACCCCACCTCCATAGTCCTCACGACCCAACCCCAAGCTAAAAGCCAGACTTCTTTCTTCTTCTCACATTTATATAGCCTTCTATGAGGGGGCGTTACACCATGCAGGATGTTTGCCTTTCTAATGTTTCCATCAATTTCCATAGAAACATCTAATTAGTCTGCTTATTTACTTGCCTGAGAACTCCTAGTCCCATAAAAAAGGTGTAGTTTGAGTTGTTATTAAATTATTACCCATCTCATAACTATTATTTGCTACTGGGCCCAAGGCTTCACAGGATGGCTTCAAAAGGGACGCTCATGCCAGCATCACCCAAATTATGAGCCAGCTGTGAGTGGATGAAAAAAAAGCAAGTCACTTAAGTGTCTGCTGACTTCTCCATCTGTCATTGATATTTGCTAATCATGAGAAAGCAGGGAGATGCAGTAGATAGAGAACTGGTCCTGGAGTCAGGAAGATTTAGGTTCAAATCCTGTCTCTGACACATCCTGAATGTGTGGCCCTGGGCAAATCACTTAACCTCTCAGTGACCCAGGCAGCATTCTGAGATTATAAGATGTAGAGCAGGGTCAACTCTGTATTGGTAGAGGGAGTTTTCTTGTGGAAAGTTCTCTATACCAATCAGATTTAGTCAAAAAGAGGAAAAGAAGTGGTCCAAAAAGCTAATATGAACTGAGAGGCATAGTTTCCAGAAATTAGCGAGGTGAGAGGTCCTATTCAGCCCTCATTTAAACTATTGTGTCATTTAAGAAGGACATTGATAAACTATAAACTAGAAAACATCCAGAAGGCAAATAGGAGGGCAAAGGGCCTTGAACCAATGTTAATATGGCTGAAGAACCTGAGAATGTTAAACCTGGAGAAGAGAAGACTTGGGACGTGGGGAGAGAGGGAAGTATATAACATTTGTTGTTGAGCTGTTTCAGTCATGTCTGACTTTTCCTGACCCCATTTCTGGGTTTCTTGGTAAAGATATTAAAGTGGTATGCCATTTCCTTCTTCAGCTCATTTTACAGATGAGGAAATTGAAGAAGATGGGGTTAAATGACTTGCCTAGGGTCACACGGCTAGTAAGCGTCTGAGGCTGGATTTGAACTCACAAAGATGAGTGTTCCTATCTCTAGGCCTGCACTTTATCCACTGCCCCACTTAGCTGCCCTGTACATAACAGCTGTCCTACAAATATTTGAAGGGCTGTCATGTAAAAGAGAGATCCATGCTGTTGCTTGACCCTAGAGGGAAGAACCAGAAGCAATGTATGGAAGTTGACAACAGGTATAGAGGCCCTATCAAGAAAATTAGAATCCTAGAATATTAAGATCCTAACAATTGCAGTTATCCAAAAGTGGAATAAGCTGCCTGGGGAGATTATGGGTTCCCTTGCTGTAGGGTTTCAAGCAAAGGCTAGATGGCCACTCATCACCTGTGTAACAGGGGTGATTCTGGGGTGATGGATTGGACCAGAAAGCTTCTGAGGTCTTTTTCAACTCCAAAAATTCTGTGATTCTAGCATGTCTTCTTCTAAACTGTTATCGTATGGGAAAAATATATAATAGTCACTGGGAAATTTAGCTGACATTACTTTGCATCAATCAATTCTCATTTCAGAAAATAAGTGAGTGTGAGGTTAAACTTCGGGACTAAATTGAGTTGTTTCTTTTAAAAACAATCCATCCAATAATTGCTAGATTAACAGTCCTAGTGCTAGATTAGTTTTTTTTTTTTTTGGCTAGGCAATGGGGTAAAGTGACTTGCCCAGGGTCACACAGCTAATAAGTGTTATGTGTCTGAGGCTGGATTTGAACTCAGGTCCTCCTGAATCTAGGGCCAGTGCTCTATCCACTGCACCACCTAGTTTCCCCTACGTTAGTTTTCTAAGTAGAAGTTGGTGATGACAGGGGATTGTAGGAGAAGAGACTGGATAGTATTGATCTATCCTATAACATTTTAAAAAGGTCTGGATTTTGAAAGATTTCTTTGAGAGATCTTCCAAGAGTGGTTGTGGTTTGTCCTTCATTCTTGAAGAGGACCATGACATCAGGAATATGATGCCATGACTTTCAAGTGAATTGGATTTAAGTGAGGGAGGGCCCTGCAAAGTCACCAGTTTCACTATCTCCTCCAGAGTCATCTGCATCCAGTGGCAAGATATAGATCAGGATGACTGGAGATGGCCACATTTAGATTGGTTGGAAGATAACCAAAGAAAAGATGAGCTACTCTTTTCATGCTTTAGATTTGGGGCAAGTGATATTTAATGTTTTCTATGAATATTATTCATGATATATTTTGTTCTATGTTCAGTTAGAATTTGGTATTTAGATATATTCTGTTGGATAGGACACCATGCTGCCTCCACTTAATTGATCATCTGTACCTCTTTCCCACCTGTAACCTGGACCCTTGACCCTTGGGCCCCCTGGCTCAGATAGGTGAGCTTTTGCCTTGTCTTGCCCCAGCCCAAGCCTCAAGCTGCCCCAACTCACCAGTAGCATCCTTTTATGTGACATCTTTGTAAGAAAGATTTTAGGGGTTAGGCTTCTATAGCAGGATAAGAAATTCCAAGATCTTGTGGATAGTGCCTCAACCAATCAGAAAGTGCTCCAAACTTTTCTGTGAACAACTAGTTCCTTGAGAAATAGCCCTAGACGCTAAACCGGTTGCAACCCAATGGGTTCAAGGATGGGGGTTTCGACCTGGCAAAGGCTTTTTCTCCACTATGCTTGCTTAATAAGCTTATTGAATATGAACTGACACATCCCAAGGGCAGAGATAGCTGCCATTTTTGAACATGGGACCCATGAAGTGGGTAGACTTAACAGAACATGGACAAACATGCAATGGGCTGTCCAGGAAGGGTGTAACTCAGATGAACTAGACCAATAGGTGCCCTGATGCGCGGAGTATGGATCCTCCTAACGGTTTAAAAGTTGATTCTACCATTGAATCAGTGCCCATGTGCTACTAAAGTGCGTTGTGCCCGCTTCTCTCGCGAGAAGCATAATAAAGACTTTCCTTCACTTACACACTGTAGTAGATTTTTGTTTCAGATTTTTCTAACAATCTTCTTCCATTAGAATAGAAGTTTCTTGAGGACAGGTACTGTCTTATTTGCTTGTATTTATATCCTCAGCATTTAGCACAGTGCCTGGCACATAGTGCTTCAGACGTACCTCTCTTCCTCCCTCCCTCCCTCCCTTCCTTCCTAATTAATCTATCTATCTGTCTTATCTATCTGTCTGACTAGCCATCTTTCCGGTTGTTTTGGCGGTGATCTATAGAGAAGGTAGTTTTTATCTGATGCTGTGTGTGTGTATGTGTGTGTGTGTGTATGTTGGGGGGTGGATATGACATTCATTAAACTCTTCATTAAAATAAACTCTTCCCTTAGTAAGGGAAGAATTTAATGAATAATTTGGTTAGGCATGTGAATATCAAACAGTTTCAGACTATCCACTTGAAAGGTAATGGGTAGAATAGAGATTTTTGTGCTTTTCAAAAACATGGAGTAGAAAAATGACCATCTTTTGGTTAGAAAATAAATTACAAGATTTTCATCACATTCAGTGATGTTTTGTTATTACATGTCAATCTTCTCTCCACTTCTGGGAACGTGGAAAAATCCTGTAAAATCCACAAGACAAAATAGTAGAGGAAATGTAATGCCTTTCTCTTTTCTATGGGCATTTACTAGTCTGGTAGGTGAGAGAGGGAGATTGTGGGAAAGAAGCTGTTGATCTTGGAGAGAAGTGATACAAGGTTATTTTGATGTTAAACAGTATGAAAGACAAACCTCTTTCGAAGCCAAATCAGCTTATTGTGTGTGGAGCTGTGAACAGCTCCAGGATAATTTTGGTTACTGGATAAAGTTTGAATAAGTTAGAAGCAGGTGTATATGTTGGTAAAAGTTTAACCCAAAAATGTTTCTCTGAAAAAAAAATGTGTATGGACAATACACTTTTAAATTTAATCTGCATTTTTAATATTTTTTCCGTCACTTTCTTAAGTCAAAATAACCAACAAAACAATAAATATACTCTGATTTGTAGCATTTGCCGATTTCCAAGATCTAAATGCTCACATTGAAAATGTAACAATCTATTCTCAGAGTTTGTTTGAGCTGGCTCCACCATACCCCTGGTTATAAGTGGTCTAGTCAGGACTGGGAATAAAATCTGAGTTATGTGATTGATTGGAGTTAAGAATTAGTGGGAAAGATCCTGAATTATACATTAGTATTTGCTTTAAAATCTTCATCTATATTAGGTATTCTTAATATTTTAGATGTCATTGACAAAGAATCAGCATGTGTGTCATGGTGCCTTGAATTTGCTCAGACTGTCTCCAAAAATAAAGGCATTTATTGGGGTAATGCACCCAGTGGACTCGGTTCCTTATGGAACCTTATGGGAGTCCAGAGCACCCAGCAGGCCCTGCTCCCATTGGAGACAGAGCATCAGCACTTTCTGCCCCCACGGGAGGTAAAGCACTAAGCCAGGTTAGGTGTCTTATCTATAGTTTGACTGGATAGGGAAAAGGGGAGCAGGAAAAGGGGAGGAGGGGGAAAAGTAAGGCTCTGAAATGCCTAGAATATCAGGTAATCCGTAGCATCTTTGTAAACACATACAGATAAGCAACGGGAACAAGAAAGGGGAGGGGAAGAGCTGTTTTGTAATATCAGGTAGTTGAGGGATGCTTTGTGAAAGGACATAGATAAGTCCATGGTGGGGGATTTCAATGCCTAGTCTTCTTGAGCACTTTCTGGCTGGCCACATACTGCATTTTATCTCATATCTCACATTCTGCATCCTGTTTGCTCCATCTGCCTCAAACACTCCTTTCTACCTAGCCTCATCATCATAGACCCCTTTGGAGTAATATTTTTATTCTAATAAGATGCAAAAAAATAGACAATTCTTTCATGAATATAAAATATTTATAAAATCATTTAAAAGATTTTATGCATAAAATGCAGAAAATAAATAATAGTAAAAAGGAAACCAAAGGTTAATGAAATTAGAG